CATCAAAAACACTCAAACCGAAATGAGGAAATTAATTTTAATTGGACGTGCATGCTCTCTGGTTTAAGGTTAGAATTGCTCCTAGCAATCTCATGGACTCCATTGTAGTGAATAAATAGGATCATGGTTCGCAAGTAATTCATGAAATTGTCACAAAATATGTAGACACCTGCAACTGCAATCCTAAGTCGGTACACATAAATTTAACTAAACAAATTCATTGGAATCTAAAGTCAAACTGTCCATTAAACTCTGTTGCGCATTATGCCTGTTGTGGTAATTGTAATTTAGGGGTTCTTATATGATTTTCAACGTGCAGGGTACATATTTATGAACAATGCGGAGCCATAGACTCCTGCCTTGTCATTTTGACGAACCTAATTTTTAGTTGCTCGCACGCACGAAAAGAAAGGCGTTTTCACATTGCAAGGGTAATTTTGGCTGAATTTAGTTAGCTCGGACTTAAAGAGTCAGAAAACATTTACATATGTATATTTACAACCTAACCAAAGTATAAAAAGAACAATAATATATTTTTCAGAGAAATTCAGAACATCTAGGCCAGCCCAAAAGGAGTCATATTTAGATAAAGCGATGCCCAAAATTACATTCATCGTTGACAAGATACTGAAGGAAGATCCCAGTGCTAAACTACACTTAACAACATTTGGAGATTATCCCACGGATGTAAATAACAATGCAAATGCCACGTATTGTTACCGTTATGAATTAACGACATCGAACGGGGCAACCTTCCTCGCCGCCGTAAAAAATGTCGACAGCACGTATGGTGGGAAGGACGACTACGAGTCCAGTTTGACAGCTTTACTCTACACTGCGACCGAGCCGAAGATCAAATGGTCCCCTAAACGCACGAAGCACCTAGTCAAAATCATTGCGGTAGCGTCTGACACGTTTTGGAAGTCGTACAGCGACAAACCGAGCAAAGCAGGACCCGAGTATGAGTACCCTGAAGGACCAACAGGTGGGTATGGGGATTGCTCACATCGTCCACCCCGCACGAATAACGTGCTTGAGACATTGGCGAAGGAAGATTTTCACCTGCTTCCAATAATTTATGGGTGGATTAGCTCCGACAATTGGAATAATACATTTCAGGGTTTCCGGGGAATGAAGGACAAATACTACATGGAGTCGGAGGCCGCGCCATCTAGTTTTGGATCATTAAGTATGGCCATCAATCGATGGGCTAATGAGACTTGTAATGGTTGAGTGCTTCAATAGAGGAGCGATGGTTGGTAAAACTCGTAACGTTGTCGAATTTTAAAAGTTAAAATTTAATTCATGTGTTTAGAATCACCAGAATGTGAGACCTGTGATTTATCATATATATTTTTAATTATACATAGGTATTTATTTTATAAATATCTGATTAATTAATTTACCAAATTATACGGAATTGTATATATGTAATCATGGATTCATCTAAATATACATAAAGTAAAGTAATTGTAATCAAATCATAGTAAGAAGAATACACAAGCCAATAATTATGTAGTAATTATTGGCTCGGCTTGGACGCCCGTAATTATTAAAAGGAAGAATCGAAGATTTTGTATGTGGCTGATTTCGCAACTTTCCAGTAACAAAAAATTGCTAAAAACATTTACACCAAGATAATTAAAAGTATTACCTTTATAAATTATTGCCATTGACTAAATAAAAATGAACATCAAAACCTGGAAGAATATGGCAATATTTCAGGGTGGGCATTTGGATTGCGTGCCCACTCTGGCATTTTATGGGGTGGGCAATGCCCACCCTGCCCATGCCGTGACCGCTCCTATGATTGGCGACGTTGAATTTCGTAAACCGCGGGGGGGGGGGAATTTTTGCTTCTTTAAGTCTGCTAATCTGACCACCCCTGCAATGACTCCAAAGCCGTGGGTGCGGCCTACTAGTCGCTAAATATGATGATGGGACTATGAATCCCGTCGTATAATTTTAAAATCCGATAGAGAAATGTTATTTGTTTTTTTTACTTGGGACCTGGATTTCGAGGGGGTGGGGTCGCATTTGAAAAATTCTTCTCCCAATCGTCCAAGGTTTTTAAAATGTGCGTCATTTGGGAAATCCATCAAGAACCGACCTTGCAATCAAGTTCGATATTTTGCATGTTATTACTTATGGCGAGGTCCGCCATTTAGCCTCTTCTATTTAGCGTGCTTTTTGGATTATTGATAATATGTTTCTATGTATATGTATCAGGATTAATAAAAAATCATTGGGCATACGATTTCATTATTCGTTTCTCCGAATTGGAACACTGTAAATAATCTGGTAATAAACAATACTGAGAAGCACTAGTGTATCACCCTACCAAGGTGTTTATGATAAGTTGTACCGTGTGGTGGTAATGGCTTGGTAATAAACTTTTACGATCATGGTAACGAATTTTTACTACCTGGTAAAATATTATTACCAAATTTATTACCAGGAAATCATTATCTGCGTGACTTTACCGGATTATTAAGTGTGTACATTATATATTACTGTTTTTTTTGCAAAGCTACATACATAAAGAGTGCCCGCATATTGTAAGTGTCAGAACGTTTTACACAAGTAAAAATGAATGAGTGAATCAAATGTAATGAAACTTTTGTGCTATACTAACGATGAGTATACCGAAGTTTTTCAGTCATTATTTGGTCCAAATACATCGTCTATGTCGGTGGAAAGAGACCTTTGTCGCATACCTCTTGACATCTTGACCTTTTCTACTCATTTTACCAGCTTCTTTGATGGTCTTCTCCATAACCCGGCTAAACATATGTTTTAAAAAAACTTGTGTCCTTTTTTCATAAGAGTATTATTTCTTCATTTATCGCCAAAATCTTTCAATGCGTAGACACTGAGGTACTTCTGGAGCGTTTTCTTTTTCCTCGACAAAATCAACTTTTCTTCCTCGAAGGTACTCTGACACTAATTTGTTATTTTGGTACGTAGCCATGTTCGGCCAAAATAAATCGTGGTTGTTTATGATAGAGGGGGTCAATCTCTTGATGATACACCCTTTCAAATAAAGTTCAAAGTTCATATTCTTGGTTGAAGTGAATGGATTTGAGACGCTCGAATTTTTGTCGATCGCCAGCCATTTTATGTATCTCATTGGAACTTTTGCCTGGCTTTGAATTTATATTTCGAACGAACGTCATTTTTACTTCTACATGAGTAGAACTTTACACGATTGATGCTTCGAGGTCAACGAGGCCGTAGTTTTCATTATCCACGACGAGAAAATTATGCGAGTCAATTTCAACATTTTCTCAACAAGTTTTGCACAAATTGTTTTAGGTCCGGCATTTTTATCTTCATTGTATTTTGGCGCGGTTTTGATGATGCATGTTTTGAAGCCCATCTTATTGGCTTTGATCTTGCGAAGATAGGTTTTTGAAATATGTATTTGTCTGGGTGCAGCCCTCACTGATCTGTTGGGGTTGCCCCTAAAAGATTTTTTTACGTTTCTCGTCAGTGTGTTGGTCATCAGGCGGACAAGCTGACCCAGAGAAATTTTATATTCTGAATTTTTACGATCCTCAGATATGTCTTGTGTATCACTAATTTTGGCCAGGGTATCCCTTGAAGAATGATGTGGTCATGAGCCATTTTCCAATTCGAGAAAAACACTTTTTTAAGGTACCAGAAGAACTTTCCCTAGAAACGGGTTGGGTTTGTCCCCCCGATTTCGACAGTTTATGTAATTTTGAAAATTTTACTCTTGAAGCAAAGTTGGAGTAAAATAATTAAATATTTTTTTAAGGGCAACACTAACTTGATCAGGTCAATGGTAGTCTGAAAATTTTACTGCAACCGAACAACGATTTAGCTTCGTTGATCAGTGGCGGCGGAAGATGACTCATCGGGGGGACATTTGAAATCTTGCCACCCTTAATAAGTCCCGCCTTCTTATATCCTGCAACGCTAATGTCCCAACGAGCCACGATACCGTCATCTTCCGCCGCTACAGGAACCGGTTATCCTAAAATTATTGTTGTGTGCTTAAATTGTGCCCAGATAAATTACGCAGACATCGGTGGCAATCTTTTGTCGTGGAAATTAGCTTTAAGGTTATTTGTATAGTAATAATCATGATTGTTCCTGCTTGAATGTTGTCTTTTTATTTTTAATCGTTAGATTCGATCACCATTCAAAACCAGATTGCCACCGACCGATGTCTGCGTAATTTATCTTGGCACAAATTAAGGACACAACCATAATTTTAGGATAATCGGTTCATGAGTGGCTAATTTTTGAACGATGCTAAATCGTTATTAGGTTGCAGTAAAATTTTCAGACTACCATTGACCTGATCAAGTTAGTGTTGCCTTTAAAAAAATATTTAATGATTTTACTCCAACTTTGCTTCAAGAGTAAAATTTTCAAAATTACATAAAATGTCGAAATCGGGGGGACAAACCCAACCCGTTTCTAGGGAAAGTTCTTCTCCTGGTACCTTAACCGAATGGCAAACCAATTTTTCCACCTCCTCCATATTTTGTGCTGTCATTTTTTAACGAAAGAAGATAATCAAATTCTGTTTTAGAAAGCTTATCAAATTTGCTAATTTATATGCTTGTTGAAAGATCGAAATTAGTTTTGAACTGGGGGAATGAGTATGTGGAACCTTGACACTTACAATATACGGGCACTCTTTACATATTCAGCGATATGCACATGTTTAAAGATGAGGTACACATTTGAAGGTGAATTTATGTACTACAGAGTGAGTTGGATCATATTTTAGTCGAGGGCCGTGCACGAACGATGTCATAAATCTGGGGAAACTCCATCCCCAAAGGAACATGGAAAGAGGCTGCACATACCAGCCTATAATTTATGTCGGTATCCATGATTTTATCAAATATTCATATTTACGCAAGTGATGAACTCATGTTTATTACGGCTCCACTTTGATAACCCATCCTGATTAGATTACGTAAATATCTACATACGTTAAGTGTATTCTTACATATAACGCAAAACATCCAAGCTAAAAACATATTCGACGCATTTTGTATAAAGCTCAAACAATTCAATTAATCGCCTCTATTACTCAAAAAAAATGTCGACGTTTTCTAAAATGTCGACGTTTTTTGGCTTCAAACCACGTCGAAATTGCGAGTGTCGACGTTCCAGGCACGAACCTCAACGGAACGGTCGGGACATTTGCAACTCGTGTGGGCTGTATATCCAAGAATTCCGGCCCAATTTGGAACGTTTAAAAAATCTGGGGCCGGTTGCATCCAGAAATCAACTAGACAACTTGGATTGGATAGATACCGAAGAGGATCTTGATCCTCAACTAGTTTTTGAACCGGAAGTAAAGGTAAAATTACAGGAAAATTTTAACATATTTTTAAAGAATGTTGATTATAATTAGAATATTAAGTACACTCTAAGAAATCCGGTAACTAACAATGGAGGCGCAAACCATGTTCAGCCCAGATATTTTTTGACCATATTAGTTTGGAAGAGCAAGTCTTTACAAACAACATTTGGCTCGGCACTTGGGCAGATGCGCAAATTTCATTTCATTTCAGCACGTTATGGGCGCCGCAAGTTTGCAAAACGCAGGATTTTTCGGGCAATGCCCAGCGGGAGCTAAACTTCGTGCGTTTTTGCGCACTTGCGGCGCCCATAACGTGCCGAAATTTGCGCATCTGCCCAAGTGCCGAACCAAATGTTGTTTGTAAAGACTTGCTCTTCCAAACTAATATGGTCAAAAAAATATCTGGGCTGAACATGGTTTGCGCCTCCATTGTAAGTTGTTACCAGGAGGAGTATTTATTTGACTCAACCGCATGGTAATTAATTTATGTTTGAGTGGTAGACATTTTGTTACCAAACCGGTAATAACCCCGGTCGCGAAATTCGAAAATATTACCAATTAGTAACCAATTTTCTACCACTCAATAATTAATAAATTTCCATTTGGTAGAGTCACATACTTAGATACTCCGCCTGGTAATCACTTTGTTACCGGGTTTCTTAGAGCGTACAGAAAGTGGTTCCACCGTCGAAACCCGGCTTGAGTGATGCCCTAGAGTGCACAATTTGTCTGGATCCTGCCGCATCCCCAATTAATCACTGCGACAATGGCCACATCGTTTGTGGATTTTGCGTAGAACGGATGACAGAATGTGGGCTTTGTAAGACGAAGTTGACACCATCTGTTTTGGCTGAGCGACTGTCTCGACAAGTAAAATCGCATAAGTTTGTGTAGAAATAAATTATGAAAATGGATTTTATGCAGCTCGACTTGACTTGCAATTGCCCGAACTTTTCATCCGGCTGTGTTGTCCCGTTTGCCGCAGCGGAAGTCAAGAACCATGTAAAGGAATGTTACTACAGGTATGAACCAGAGCTTTTTAATTAGCCATATTTCTAATTAATTAGTAATTGATAATTATGTAAAAGGAAAATGTTTTGTCTAACCAATTGGTAATTAGTAATTAAACTCAGTTTGCTAATTAAACCAATTAATTAGCTAATTAATTAGAACAGTGGCAAATTAATTGGTGATTTTAGTGATTTTCTAATTAATTAGCTTCAGTAGTACCAGTAATAGTTTAATTAGTAATTAATAAGTGGTTTAAACATCCCATTGAATTAGATAATTAATTAGATTGACTAACGAATTTAGAAAACCCTCGTATGAAGATTGTCGTTAACTAATAATGCACATGTCAGACATGGTCTTCACGGATCTTGGAAAAACCAGTAAATTACTAGAAAATCAAGTAACTTAACAGTATGGCGCGAACATTAAAAGAAGAGGTTAATTCACGACTACTGGTCGAACATTATCCCTCCTCATCCCTCCTCGGGGGCGATGGTGTGGCGTAAAATTCACGATTACTTGAGCCTAACCTGAGAATTTGAAATGGATGGTTGAGGGTTGACAAGTAGTTAAAGGACAAACTCGACCGTAAAACTCAAAAGCTTTAATTTTTAATATGTAAACCAAATAGGAAACATGAAACCATGTAATGATACCTGGAAATTCAAGTCGAACATAAAAATTCTCAAAATATAACATTGAACTTGAAAATTTAATCAGTGATTTAAATTATGGTGTGAAGAATTTTTTTTCAATCTGGCCCAAAATCACAAAAAACCGAGGTGGTTTAATACCCCGGTTTCATGTATGTAGGCACATGATTGACAAGTTCACTGCAAAGTATACATTTTTCCTAGAAACGTAATATGCGACATAACCTGGCAACATAAATGCGACAAGATTGAAATCCCTTTCGAAGACTTCGCCATGCATTTGCTTAGCACTCATGGAACGAATTTGTACACCATTATTGATGGGATGAGGGCATCTGAACCAGTCACTTTTCCCCTGGATGGGGACAACTTTGCCTGTAAGTTAAACTGGATTTGCAGTTTTCAAAATTTGCAGGATCTCTTGTTCGTCTTGATAAATAAATTTAGACCCAGGAGCTTCAGGAATCTATCGAATACTGAAGAAGAATGGGGAAACATTTTTTCTGCATTTCCATACCACAAAGAAATTCGACTATTTGTGGGTCACGGTTCTTGGAGATGCAAAGGAGGCTGAGAAACATTGGTTTAATTTGAAAATAAGCCATACTAGCGACACTAGAAGACAGGTAATTAGTGCACAATGCAAATTTGTAAAGTATAGAAAAAGTGTTTTGGAACACGTTGCGGCGACATAATAGTTTTGCCTAGGGCGCCACATTGCCTTGACGGGGGCCTGACAAATCGTGTGAGGCTCCACTAGGAATGCCAGTCCAACCATTTATCTTATCTTTGTGGTTATCGGAGATACAATTCCGATAACAAATATGTAACAAATATGCATCATTTCGACCTTAAATTTCCTACAGGGAATATCTTTATGCATTTTTCGGAATAAAAATGTTTTAAAAATTATGTATTTAGATGGAGCAATCTTACACGATTCCAGTGTTAGCGTATCATCCTTACGCGAAGTATGAGGTGACGACAATGTTTGAGAAATGCGTTATGATTCCGGCTTCTCTCGTGAAGCAGTATGGAGTGAAGGAAAACGGCCAAAATAAAGATCGATTGGTTCTAGTTCTTGCATATGACATTGTATAAAAAGATTTTGAATGTTTCCGTGTTTATTCCTTTCTAAAATGCACATTTCAAACATGTTTCTCGCGGATATTTTTAAAATCAGGACTAAAAAATTAATTAACTTAGCGCAAACGAGTTCTGCAGAAGGACTAGTCGCATTTGAGGTGGATCCTGGGCTAAGATTTTCAATTGTTTGTTTCGATAGTTTTAATCGTTTAATTTTAAAGATCATGATGGGAAAAGAATAAATCATTATGGTAGAGTTGAATAAAAATGCTTGCAACAAGTCTTATGGGCTTAAAACTGAAACGGGTTTAAGAAGTTTCGCAAAAACGAGCATAATCACCATCAGTAAGTGGGGACGAGAATACCTAATTTGTATCTAGTTTCGCACATTTTTGCAGATTTATAAGCTTTTTAACTTCATGATTTCTGTAAAGGTGCTCAAGTACCACGCTAAATTTTGTTTATGTTTAGTCACTTGATTTTATAATGCTGGTTTTAAAAAGAGCAGCGACTTACGACATGTGCATTGTGAGTTTAGTTTACCTTTTCGGTTTCGGTTTAAAACGTTGCAGGCGTTCTGTCAGCTAATTTTTTTCGTACATATCAACTTGTGTAGCATGAATATGTAATTATTAGCCAAACGTATGCGAAATTGTTTAAATAAATAAGCAGAAGTTCTGTACATTTACCTGTTAAATATGACCACTTTAATTTGAATGAAAGTCAATCAAAAGTCCAATACATGCATAGCATGTTTTCGGAACAATTTTTAGTACGTCGTTGTATATTGCACAACAATAACCATACATTACATTTTGCTCTCAAGTAGGGAACCACCATTATAAATAAGTGTAACGACTAATTGATGGAGTGACCTCCCTATCATCCAAGTGTCATTAGGCTGAGAAACAACCGTTTGGTCTCCTTCTCGTTTTTTTAATTACTTCATCACCTATCGAGTAGATAAAAACACGCACAGAAAGACATTTATAAGATTTGCGGATTTTTCCACGGACTTCAGCCTGTGGGAGTCCACCCCACCATCTTCAGCCCGTGATTAACTCCAGCCCGCCAGCTCCAGCCCGTAATTATTTCCAACCGTAATTATCTCATACCCTCACCCGTGTATGTACCATAAAATATGTAATATATAAATGAATGAAAAAATCAAAACGGAGTTTCGACTATGCTCAGTCGATACTATGACCTCAGCTTGGGTCATAGTGGGGCCTGTGGGGTCACCCCTCCTGAGTCGTTCAAAATAGAAATTCGGTCGTCATAATATTGAACTTTCATTTTAATACATAAATGTGACAAATGTCCTGAATATTAGCTACCAACTAAATAACGCGCTGCAACGGGACGACTCTTTAAAATCATGACGTAGTTATGTTATGAAAAACTCAAACTAACTCCATGGACTAAATGATTCTAAATATATCTATATATATAGGAATAAATATATCTGCATTAAAACAACCATGTCGTCCGATAAATCTAGTACTAATTCTCACTCTAAATACCTTGTATTTGAAAATTTGTAGAATTTTAAAAACCGAGGTTATGGCTGGAAAATGGTTCAAAATTATCGCCTGGCGTTCAAATCAGCGAATTAAGAAAAATGAAAAAATACGGGTATGCTTATTTTTTGTAGTGAACAAAATAAAATTGGTCCCAACCAGATCTGAGTTGTACACGTAAAACAATTGCATTGTAAGTTTAGAATAAATTTATAATTTTACGGCTCACAAACTTAAAAGCATTGAAAGTCCAACGAAGAATTATAAGTCGAACTTCCACCACGAAAGCAAAACTTGCCAGAGCAACAGTACCCCCGCAGATAATAAACATTGTTAAAAATGCACCGTCCAAGGTAACGTCTCCGCCGGACTTTTCCCTTTTGACAGGCTTACGACCTAAGTATTTCTGGTGAATTTCCTCGAGTCCTAATCGTCCATATATTCCACTCTCCGCCACAGCCTTGAAATATTTGGGCACCTTGGATTCCCCAACTTTCTTCATATTCCAGAAATAATCATCTTTTTGAAAGATTTCTTTCCCTTTGTAAAATCTTTTTTTGGGATAATGTTTAGTAAGGAAATTTAATTCAGCCTCTATGATGTCTGATTTTGAAATATAAACTGACCTCCCAGACTCTAATAATTCACTTTCCACATTATTTCGTAACTGAACGAACGTCTGGTTTTTGCCTGAATATTTAAAGTCCATCGAATGATGAGTGTTCCTAGGATCGAATAGATTTAACATTTGCATATCCTTATTAGCAATAGGAACAAATAGAATATTATCAGGAATGGCCTGCACATAGAAAAATAAATATTCTAAAAACTCAGGAATGCTCGGGTACCCAGATACATATCCCTTCGGGTGAGAAAGCAAATGGAAACATTTATTTAAAGTGAATGGATTTTGAAGTTCTCGCGCGGGTTTGCTCTCAGGTCCATTATGAGAAGTGCCTTTCTGGTGCTGTAGTGACTGGGCTAATGCAAACATGTACCACGCAATCCGATCATATCCGTATTTAGGGAGCTTTTCTCCCCGTCCAGTTAACGGTATATTATTTTTAATTCTATCATAGTAAAAATCGATGCGCTTGGACATTTTGAACGCATCAGTCGTTGGCATCCGTTCACAAAGGAGGTAATCAAACAAGGTGGGGCGTGATGCGTCCAGTGGAGCGTTAAGGTGGGATATCATAACACCATTGTAGCAGTTTGTGAGAATGACAGACATTAAACACCAGGAGCCAAGAATAAGACGAAAAAACGAATGCCCTTCAACTTTCCTAGTTAGGTGACCGGTCTCTTCAAAAATGGTGGCAAGAACAAACAACCAAATAAGTAAGGACGTGTTAATAAGATCAATGAAATAAGCGTAGGTTGAGGTGATTACAATAATTATTAGAAGTGAAATCAGTAAAGTAGCCCATAGACCTGACTTGAAAGGTGTCACGTAAAATTCAAAAGTCATGAACTCATTCCGATAGCAGCTTATAAGTTCGAAACCTAGGTTTTGAGTAGTTACGGTCAGTACGTCAAAATCTGTCCAACCACTGGACTCGTCGCATAGCAGGGCCTCGTAGCCAAAACAGGAGGACTTCAGAAGTAGTGTTTCGTTTGCAATATTAAAAATTATTCCAAGAATATTTTGAAGCTGTGGATTATAAATTCTGGCGTCAAACGGGTTCTTGTCTTTTTGCCCGTAAATATCGAACTTCAGATAGGATTTATCTGTGTTGAATCCTCGAGCATAGCACCATGGAGGTGACAGGATTGCAAAATACTGGCTAATGTCAAATACACTTCTGCTTCTCAGGTTCCCAACTGAGCCTGCATCGCATGGATGTTTCTGATTTTGAATAACTGTTAAAATATTTCTGTTCAACTCTTCCCTGAAGGAAGTGCAAAATTGAACTTGATTTTCGCGTAGAATGAAAAGTAAAGAAATTTTAAAATATTTGCCTGACCAAAAATAAACCCGTCCGTGACTCTCTACATTAGATTTCATGGTCACAATCGTCATAACAGTCTCATTGTTCCCCACCGTTAGCCAGTAATCTTCAGGATTAAACAAGTGGTAACTAGCTGCCGTATCTATCCATTTATCCAATTTCTCTCCTAAATATACTCTTCCAATTTCGAGGGAATGTGCGGAAATCAAAATAACAAATTTACAATTTGTGGCCGCTCGTGATTTGAATATATTGATCTGATATGCTCTAGTGTCGTAGGGAATATAATTAAAATCTTGTACAATTTTAACGGGTAGCTTGACATTGAACCAGTCAATGTTACGCCTTTGTACGTCGTGAAATATTTGGATATCACATATGACCAATCCCTCCAGCAAGATGTTAAATACTCGAAGTTGTTCTGTAACAGAGAAGGGAAGTACAGTTTGTAAATATACGACCAGAATACTTGTCAAACAATGGTGAACGTGTTCACGCATTATTGAAAAATGTGCGGGTGTTTTAAACGGTTCAAAACGCCTAAGGAATAACAATTTGTTGAGGTCAGTCTTTTCCTGAAAGAATTGCTTAATCTAAAACTGGCTAAGGTATAGTAGCATTCTGTTCTTTTCTACATTGACCAACTGCTGGAGGAGATGGTAAAATTAGGTGAACCGGTAGATTTTGAATTTTTGGAAATTTTTCAAATTTTTCACCGGCCCATACATAAGTTTAGCGCTGCTTAGTTAAAGAAGCGAATCATTAACTTTTTCTCCGTTTGTGTTCGGATTTGATTCCCCAGTTTGTACGGATTATTTATTACGACTGAAATTTTTGCCCTGACAAGTAATATAAATATGTGTATGTGTGCTCGTCAAAGTGACTTTCAATACTACCCTTTCGGGGCGCATTGTGGCTGTTAGCCAATCAATACTGTCTGCCTCACCAGCTTAATTTCTAGGAATACTTAAATATGTCTAAACCTTTCCATGTCCTCAACAAATTTGCATTAAGACGAATTGCCATGTAAGCACGACAGCATGAGTCAACGGTTCGATATACTGTTAAATTATTCAATTGTGGGGAGCTACTTAATTTTGTATAAACTTTTATGTAAAACTTTCCAACATATTCACGAATCAAGATCGATTGGTGCAAGTTGTGGTAAACCATAATACATATACATAATTACCAAATTCGCACAATCTATATACATAGAATCCTTGGGAGCAGGGTTGCAAGTGGTATATATCGTCTAGTGAGATTTAGTGAGATTAAATGATTAATATCAATCATCTCAGTTGGGGCTGAGTGAGAAATATGAGAAATAATAAGACAAATTTGTAGTTCATGACCCCGTCCGCTAGGTGGCGCTAGTGCATGCCTCATAAATCTCAATACATCGCATATTTCTCATGTCTCACTATTCATCATTATATCTCAGTGAGATGAGATTTCTGCAACCCTGCTTGGGAGATCCCTGCGCGGCGGGGAAGCAGTGCAAATGCCCCACTATCTTTGGATGAGCTAGAACTTACGCAACGTGCTAAGCGTCACAATTGAATGTACCCATGACGACTCTCGTCCGCGATAATTTTCTCTCACTCGTAGTTGATATGATACTGCTCATCCGAGATCTAATGACCAATTTTTAAATTCAAATCTTCAAATATTTGACTTATACAGGAAAAGGACTACAAGATTAAGCATACCCTTCGATGAGACAAATAAATTCTTACATGTTTGCAGATATTCAGATATCGCGTGACTTACCAACATTCATACCAAATTTGACATCGGCTTTCAACGTTGAGCAAAAAACTTGTCACGAACCATCGCATGATAATATTTTCACTTAAGAACTATCCGTAACACTTGAATAAATTATAAGTCTATAACCACATATTTATACCAACCTTACGACATTTCGATGGGCAGAATACGATCCCTACGAAGTCAGAATAGCTTCCAGCTACATACAGTATGTAACAAATTTAATGCTACGATGACATAATTTTTATATCTACATGATCGCGTAAATTTTAAAATTTCAAACTCCGCACAAAAATCTCAAAAGTGTAATTTCCTCGTCGCCGATTTTTAATATCGCACAAAGGTCAAAGGTCGCCATTATTTTTGTGAACAAATTTGAGGCGTCAAAAAAAAAACTTCGTGGATAATTTTTTTGAACTTTCTAATATTTTTTATCGGATACGACATGGGTT